ATTCATTTAGATTTGGCTATAATCTATCACAATGTTAGTGGGATGGAGGTACTATGTTTTATGCAAATTATCAGTGGTTATGTTTTATGCCGGACACCCAATCATATCACAACTTAAAAAAGAAAGAATAGTCATAAGATACATTTACAAAACCGTCGTCATTATGGGTTTTCCTTCATTTGAAAACATCATGAGACAAGATGAGCTATAATAGTTGATACTTTTTAGAGTTACCTTCCCTTGCAAAATTGATACATATACATACAATCTTGAGTTATTTTTCTTCGACGAACTAAATCTCAGTTATCTCAGGTGTTCAATTTTAGCACTGGGAGAACAACCTATTAGCAAAGCTAACCTTGAAGACGAAGTAACTGCTATGGATCACGATCACACGGGTCATCTTATTTTCTGCGGTGATGGACAGGTTGCTGCTTTGGCGCACATCCTTTTCTCTCATTTAAATAAGCTTTCTGAAATGATGACTCATGCATTGGCTTATAATATTTTTGTAATTGCTGAATAATACATACAGGGATGCATATACACAGTGTGTATGGAATCTCGTACAGGTGTGTTATCTAGATCTCATAGACAGCGGTGTAGCAGCAAACATAGAACAGCTGTTACAAGTGTTCAATACAGGATGTTCTCTCTGCTAGCTCGTGGCCCTGTCTTGCTGACTTTTACTCGTGATGGCAACTTGTCTTTCTTCAGGTTGGTATATTCGCTTTCTATGCGTTTTTACATCGAAACACTAGTAAGGTTAACTTGGTAACGCTGCATGTTTTATGTTTTCAAATATTTTGTTTTTTAGTTTTTGTCGTTCCAATTTTATTGGATGTCCCTGAAGGACTGTTTTTTTTTGTTTTTGTAAACATCTGAAATGTAAAACATGTTTGATAAGCCTGATTGTATATACTCCGTATTATATTTGGAGTACTATATGTGATGGATGCATTTTATTCTTATAAAAATTCTAAATGTTTTCTAAAGCAACGACAGCTCGTAATTTCTTGTTTTCAATAAATATTAAAAGGGAAAATCACACTCCTAGATGGCTAGATCTCCAATGGTTTGGCTTTATGTAATATGGGTGACATTTGCTACAACTTTCATAAATATGATTAGTCCTTTCTGTGAAAATCTCCATATGGATTAGGTTTTGAGGGAGGCATTCTCAACGATGTCGAGAATGCCTTTGTTAACTTTCATGCTAAAAGTTAATTTAATAGGTATGACCGTATGACTAACTGTGTCTCGTCCTAACAATTGAGGCTTAGTTTACACATTGCATAATGTCAACCAAATATGTGATTAAATGTGTGGTTTGCCAATTTTTTCTTCCAGAAAATACATAGCTAGTAATAAAAACTAATGACAAACATGTTTTCTTGTCTCGATTTTCAAAGAAAATGTGAAAACAGGCAGTGTAAACATTACCATATAATACCTATTCAATTCACATTATTCTGCTTTGCAGTGTATCTTTGGAGGTAAAAGGTTATTTGACCCTTCGTTGTTCGCTAAAATTGGCCCCGCGGTTGTATAGTATCCGTGCTGCTTTGTGTCCTTTATTGTCCCTTGAAAAGGGAGAATACATTGGTATGTGGCTTGCTTTCCTTAACACAATTTGTTATTTTGGGAACCATTTTCCTATAGAAACGTGTCATTGATGGATATACATATATCTTGCACTTAATGTTCCTGTCTTCTATTATTACCACACAAGTTGCTGGAAGTGAGGATGCAAATGTGTACTTCTACGATATAACTCGATCAAAGGGTACATGTGTTAACAAGCTGCAGGTATGTATAAATACTTCATTTCATTGAACACTCTCACCCAGGTGTACAGTAATCGCTCTGCTGCTCTCTAATAAGTATTGTTGGGGGGCATCCAAAACACGTGTTGTTTCAGAAACTAAAGGAAGTAGTAATTATTTTTGAACAGCAATGTTAAAACCCACCTGTTTTAAAAATGACTGGGAAAACAAGCTGGTAACTATATGTCAGTTGAAACTTGAAACTTCTGGTTGGGAATATAGTAATTGTCCCATATAGGACTAAAAGAGAGGAGAAATTCTTAAATAGGATCATATATGTTTTTCCCCCAAATAGGACTAATTTACTCCTATTCTAAAACTTACGTATTTTCCATTCCATTTTTACCTTTCTCCCTGTTTTACGCACCACACCTCTCCCCTGTGCACAATTCAACCCTCCTCCCACCTTCTCTCCTGCGCACATTTCTCTCTTTCTTCTTTGCGCGTCATCAATCAACTTCGCCCTAACCATTGCCGCCGACTTCGCCATCTCACGCCGCCGCTGACCTCGCCATCTCACGCCACCGTTGCTGTCGATTTCACCATGTGCTGCTGCCACTAAGGTTCTCCTCCTCCATCCTTCTTCTTAATTTCCGGTTTTGCTCTGTTTTTTTGGATTTTGAATTGATTTTTCTAATTTTCGGACTTCTTTTTCAATTTTCTGGTTTCTGATACATGAGTTTTTAAAAAAATCGATTTTCGGAAATTTTGGATGATTGCTTCAGATTTGGGCCAAATTTATGGCTGAAATGTTACATTGACAATCATATTATGGCAAAAAATGCTTTTGTAGAAATTGCTTTTTTGATTTTTTTGTCAATAGCTTCGTTTTTCTAATTGCCGATTCTGTTAAAATGCGTATTCCATTAAAAAAAATCAGTTGTTTGAATATTTGGTTATTTATTTCATGTTTTTTAATTTTTGCCAAATTTGTGGCAGTTTTGTGTTAATATTCCAAGATGAATCTGTCAACTCTTTGGGAGATCTGAAACCCTTGTTTATGGCATATGTGAATCTAATCTCCAACAATAATCTGCCAACTTAATGGCAGATTTATTCTGTGTGAGTTATCAAGATGGTGACTGTGCTTAGAGGATAGTGGTGGCGGTGGATGGCGACTCTGATCAGATTGTGATGACATGGATGGCGATGCCGGTAAGAGGTGGTGGAGGGGGTGGATGGCGACGCCGATGAATGGGAAGTTGAGGCGGCAGGGGGCGGCGATGGATGAAGACGAGCGCCGAAAAGGATGCGGCGGTAGGCAGCGAGGGCGGCGACAGGTGGTGCCATAGCCGGCAAGGGCGGCAGTAGGCTGCGCCGGCATCGGGCGACGGCAGGCGGTTTGGCTCCGATGGCCGTAGTGCTACTCTAGGGTTTCAATAATTTTTTCATTTATATTTTTAAAATTTTAAAAATTGAAAGAGGTTTATTTTTGCCCAACTGTACTGAAATTGATCCTATAAAACTTGTGTTTCATTTATGGTCCTAAATGTGCAATTAAGTTTGCTATTAGTCCTATTTGAGTCATTGACTCTTGGGAATACTAGTTTGTGCTCGATTTTATTTTCTGGAGAATTAATTAGATTCTTAACGTGTAGTAGTTGGTAGAGACCCTAAAATAAACGATATCTATTTGAGAAGGGAGTAGTTGCTAAGCAATTATGGCGTGCAGGGTCATGGATATCCAACTATAGGCATAGCATGGAACCACGGGGACAACTTGCTAGCTTCCTCTGATTTTGGTGGCACTGTGATTGTATGGAAGAGATCAGCAAAGCCTATTTGACCAGTCATTATATATATATGTGATAGTTCTAATGAGAACGATGTCTCAGTAGAGAAATAATAATAAATAATAAATAAATAAATAAGAATGGAATCTCACCATTCTTTCATTTTGAACTCAAATTTTGTGGAGATAATCTACACTTGATGAAGAATATGTTAATAAAATTTCACGAGAAAGATCCAAAATGGCCTTGGTCAGATAGTGGTTCCCGCGTGTGCCACTTAAGGAGATCATATAAATATGATGCCAATATAATTTTTTATATGAAGACGGGGATAATATATTACATGAGCAAGTGTTCTTAGGCTGAAAACTGCGAAACAATTTAAAAAGTTGTAAAACTTACACTTTTGGCTTTACAAGTTATGTTTATCACATTAATAGTTTAGTAGGACATATATGTCTTGATAAATAAATAAATAACTTTTTCATAAATACGATAGTATTTTTTTTGTAAATATTTTTCAACTACTACTATTGTTTTTCATTGTAATCTTGTTAAATGTCCTACACCGGAAAATTGAGAAGCATTAGAGTGCTATATTAAGGTTCGGGCTACTCCTCCTAACAGGTTGACCTTTTAGGATGGAACCCCGAGTCTTAACATGGTATCAGAGCCAAATCGATCCATGGTGTGGGAGGTCCTTATGAAAAGATGACGACACGATAAAAAAAAAATTGACGAACCAATGAAAAAATGAATGACGACACGATCCAGACGAAGTGTCTGGTCGTGAGGAGGGGTGTTAAATGTCCTACACCGGAAAATTGAGAAGCATTAGAGTGCTATATTAAGGTTCGGGCTACTCCTCCTAACAGGTTGACCTTTTAGGATGGAACCCCGAGTCTTAACAAATCTCATACATCCTCAATTTATCACTATAAAATTATGCTTTTGATTTAGAGTTGTTGGGTTTATCAGTTATGATTGTGTTTTATAAGTTACCTTATTGTCTCTAATTCTCTATTAGTTAAACTTCGAACTTTTCGGCCTAAGACCCACTTCTCACGTGATCTTTTTCCCTATATATAAAAAGACCCCTTCCCGTGCAAAGTGCGAAGATATGCACATTTTCATGTTTCGCTTGCACTTTTTCGTGTTTTTGTTGCACTTTTTTGTAATGGCAAAAAAGTGCAACATATTTACGAAAGTGTCACCGCATTTTTGGTTGAATTTTCTGCATTTTAGCTCATTTTGAGCCGTTAGATGTGAAAATGAATGCACAAGACTCATTCTCACTTTGCATGAAAAGAGCTCTTTGTATTTGAACCATCCCCTACACATAGTCACACACAAAGAGAGTATTAAAATTTAGGAGAAATTACATCTATATGGAGAATTTGGGGCGGGAAGGCCCACTTCCTCCTTGTGTATGCCACTGCCTAAGTAATTCAAGTAGACATGCACAAACGCGGGTTCGGACCGGGCTTGGCCTGGGCTTATTCTAAAATATCTGCCCATTTGTAGTGGTCGGGCCCGGCCCGGCACAACGGGCCTCCTCATATGTCCAAGCCCGCCCAAAAGAGCGGGCCGGGCTGCCCACCGGGCTCTCGGGCCCGGAAAAATTATCCTCTTTCTATTTTTTTATTGAAAAATCGTAAACGTTTGTAAAATACTTTTATGAAATACACACACGATTCTGAAAAATAAAAACCATTCAAATTTAGAACTAACATGAGTATTTGAAAATTTAATCACAATGTGCAAACAATAATTAAAAGTACAATCAGAATGTGCAATGAGAATAGTCAAACCATAAAAGTATCTAAAAAAACTTGATAGGTGTCCAGTGCAAAACAGTTCAAGTTTTAACTAACACGGAGTACTACTTTATTTGTCCGATCTAATAGCAGTAGCTTGGCTAAGGTTTCATGTTGGCCTTCCTTAATGATAGTAATTTTTTGTGTATATGTATAAAATATAATTTACATATATAATTATAATATATACACACACACACATTTAACGGGTCGGGCTTTTAGGCCCGCCGGGCCTATATTAGAATCCAAGCCCGCCCATAATTTAAATGGGCCTGGGCCGGGCCGGGCCGGTGGGCTAAACTGTGTGTCCAAACCCGCCCATTTATATGGGCGGGGCCGGGCGGGCGGCCCGGTTTTGTGAAGGTCTATATTCAAGGCATTATTTGATAGATTCCAATTGATGTTGACTCGATACTCTTGATACCATAATGTGAAAGAAAAAAAGGGAGAACTACCAAATAAGCCCTCAAATTTACATAAAAAGTGCAAATCACCCATTACCCATTATATAGAAAGCTCTGTCCGGCCGTCGTTATTTGGGGCGGTTCCCGGTATGCTTAGACTCGGTTCGGGCCACCCGGCCCGGCACTGTTTGGGCCCGGCCCAGGAACCGTGTACTAGTACCGGGTCTAGGCCCGGTTTGTAGGGGGTAAGCGGGGTGGGTACGGGCTGAGGTAATTGAGAACCGGCCTGGTCGGTCCCGGGCCCGGCTCGGGCCTTTTCAATTTTTTTTTTGTTTTGTTTGGGGCTTTGGGCTGGGTTTAAATGGGCTGGAATGGATGTTTCAGATGGGTTTGTGGGATGGGGGTGGGGTAGGACATAAAATAATCAAGAAAACAAAAAAAGACAATAGAACCGGACCCGACCAGGCCCAGACCGGCATCGGTCAACTTCCAGGCCGGTCCCGGGTCACTGAATTTTTTTTTTGGCCCGGCCCGACCCGAACCCGGTTGAGTCCATGCCTAGTTCCCGGTGGAACATTTGGATGAATTTTTTTGAGCATTTTATTCATTAAGTCTAGTTTACTCATACCAAATTTCAGCTAAAAATTCATTCGGAAAGACAGTCAAATGATTTTCTGAAATATACTGCGCTGTTTAATTGCGTAGTTATCTTCAAAAGTCCATTTGAATGTCTTCCCGGTTGAATTTTTAGCTGAAATTTGGTATGAGTAAGCTGGGCTTAATGAATAAAATGTTAAAAAAAAATCATTAAAAAATTACACCGTGAACCGCCCCAAATGGTGATGACCGGACAGAATCTCCTACATAAGGGGTGATTTGCATTTTTATGGTAGTTCTCCCCAAAAAAACAATACCAATCCCTTGTAATGAACTGCCCCACTAACTTGTTTTCATCGCATAATAATCAATCATAAAGGAAAGTTGTCTCCTAAATGAGAGCTTCGGGTCAACCTAAGAGTGAGAATAGGGTTCCGGCATCATATGGTTCTCTAGTTTCATTAATGTTCGGTAACATGGGACAATGAAATCATATCATGAATATTTCTCATAAGCGCTACCTAAGAGTGACAGTCTAACACCTCCCACCTTCATTTTGAGCTCAGAACTTCGCTCACTTTTAATTAGTTTGAGATCACCAGAAATTTTGATCCTCTAATTCTTCTTTTTTTTGGAGAATGTTTATCTTGAAGAAACACAATCTGACGGTTTTTGCTAAAGAAGCTTGCAAAATTACTTCTACACTCTTAACAAATTCACTACTGAAAACTCCAAAATTTGTAAATTATTTTAAAACAACTTTTTAGAAATTGACAAAAATAGAGAGAAATAATAATATTTCAAACAAAATATTGCATACCATTAGAAACTAACTCGCCAAAGTTTCGATTTCTCCTATTCAATATTAAAATGATAAAACAACCAATGAGGATCCATTTAGTGAGCATGTTTTTCGACTTCTCAGCCTTATCAATATATGTTTTTCCAATAGTTCTTATTTTATAGAAAAATAATGCTTGATTATCATGATGTGAAATATATTATTTAATGTCATGGTTAAACAAGAGTTTTGCATCATGTAGAAATTTCACTTGTAGTGAGTGCCTCACATAAAGGATCTAATGTGAACAATTGGCTTATGTGTTTTCACATAATTTTGTGATAGTATAAAAATAATTTCAAATGAGATGTATTTATACTACTTTTCAACCTTTCTGCAGTAAGGGTGGAATAGCGCGGAAGGGTTTGAGGGTTTGACCTTCCGATATCCCGAAGGGTTTGAGGGTCGTTTCCTTGGTCCGAGACATCGTCTGTTGCCTGCTTCCCCTTGGGGGATAGCGCGGAAAACGCCTCGGTTTTGAAAGTCGTCCCCTCAGCCCGAGACATGGTCTGTTGCCTGCTTCCCCTTGGGGGATAGCGCAAGGAGCGTTTCGTTTGTGAAAGTCGAATCCTGGGCCCGGGACATGGTCCGTTGCCTGCCTCCCCTTGGGGGATGGCGCGAAAAGCGTTTCAGGGAAGGGTTTTATTTGTGTGTGAAACACAAATGGCCGGGGGTACTTGGTACCTGCCGGAACCGAGGGGTATTGTACCCCCCATTTTTTTTATGGAGTGTATATATGAATATGCATAATGTATGCATGAGGGCGTCTTCGTGGGGTACGGCTTGGTAAAAAACATTTGGTGTTTTTATGAATGGTGGGTGTATTTGCGCACCTTGTACTTGGTACTTTGTTATATCCATTCCTCCTCATGAGAGGAAGGGGCCTTGGGCCGTGTAAGCGAGCGATGAGGGCTTGGCCACTCATATTTGAAGAGAAGGGGGCCTTGGGCTGCTTATGAAATATATAGGTGATGAGGGCTTGGCCTTTTAACCATTTTTACAAAATGAATGGGGCCTTGGGCCGCTAATCATGTACATTTGTGGAGGATGAGGGTTTGGCCGCTCGCATGCTACTGGTAGAATTTGACAAGGTGGTGGACGTTTCAATGCCTAGGGACCTCAGTCCCATTAGGGCGCTTCAGCTTGTAAGTCCCCGGTCTGATGATGGCTGAGACGATGTAGGGGCCTTCGAATTTTGGGGCCATCTTTCCTTCTTCGGTGGGTTGGCTGGCCTCCCTTCGCCGGAGGACGTAGTCCCCCACCTGGAATTCTCGGGAATGAACTTTGGCGTCGATGTAGCCCTTGACTTGGCGTCTATAGTTTTCAACCTAGAGGAAGGTTTGTTCCCGGCGTTCTGAGATGAGGTGAAGGTCAAGGGCCATGTTGGCGTCGTTGACCTCAGGTTCATATTGCTCTACCCTTCGGGTGGGCAGAGTTACTTCTGTTGGAGCCTTGGCTTCAAAGCCATAGCATAGGGAGAAGGGTGTTTCACCTGTCGCACGCCGAGGGGTGGTGCGGTAGGCCCATAGAATGTTATGGAGTTCTTCTACCCAGCCCCCCCCCCTTCAACTTCCAACTTCTTTTTAACCCTTTGAGGAGGGTGCGGTTGGCGTTCTCCACTTGACCATT